ACACATGTAAGACTATTTGGATCAAGAAATTGGCTATATACTCTATATAAAACAATATACATTGAGACGGAAACTCAATCTCCGATGAGGAGAAATTCTAACACCGATGGAAGGACTTCTTCCGAACTTGGTTTTGGCCATGGATGTGTTGCTTGAAAAAGTTAGGATTTGCAGTTAATGGGGGGAAATCAGGTTGACTTAGTAGGGAGGTTAATGTCTTGTGGGAGAGAGGTATTTTACCATAAACATCGAGTTCAGAATTTTGAGAACTGACAAATTTTCCCATAAATTTAGCTAATTAGTGATTAAATAAGTCAATTAGTGATACATTAATTTTTCTAGTAAATCTGCAAATAAAAATAAGAATACAACTATAATGCTAATATTTTCAAAAAGAGTTTAATTATGCAATAAAAAGTGAATTATGTAGTGTAAGGGGTAATTTTCTAGAAATGTCAAACAGATACAAAAGGCCCACAGTGTAGCCCAGAAACTGAATTGGGCTTCAAGGCCCATTAATCCAAATAAGCCCAAATTATCGAGCCCAAAACCCAACACAATACTAAATTGCATCTGTCAACTTGCCCAATTATTACTGTACATAGCCTGGGCAGACTGGCAGGCCTATACCAAAATAGGGCACTCCAAAGGACAGATAAAAAACACTGTTTGTTAAAGGTTCAAATTGCAAAAAGAGAGACATGCTCTGATAAAATCTGAACACAGAGAGCATTTCTTTTAATTGTTTAGAGGTCCCATTAATTTATTGAAATGACATCCTGTGATCCTTTTGTCTCCCTATCAATTTGGGGAGCCACGCTTAATTAAAACCTCAATTTATATATAAATTAAATGAAATATATTTTAGGTTCCAAATCCAAACAGTCTTTTTTCTCTTTTAATGTTTTTTGTAACAGTGTTTTGAAAAAAAAAAAAAATCAAACTTGTGGAATTAATAATTAAAGCGCATTGTAAAATAGAAAAAAAAAATCGGAAGGGACTAATTTTTTTTCCATATTAGGCATAAGATTTTTTTTTTCTTCAGTCAATATTTATCAATTAATAAAAATAAATGAAACAAAAATTTTCGTTAAATTAATAACACTTTTCTTCTCTATATATCACTAATACAAGTAAAAAAATTATTATTATACATTTTTCAGAAAAAAATACTATTTATCCAAATCATATTATATTATATTAATATCACGTCTATTTTAGCGAATACATTTTTTTTATCTCATATAATCTCACAATCTCAAATTTATTTTAAAAAGAAAAAAACATTTTTGCACTTTTCAGAATTCATCCCATGATTTTGAGAAAAAAAGAATTAATCCCATGATACAATTTTTTAGAAAAAACAAAAGAATCTTTTGATGGATCGCACCCTAAATCAATTAAACCGTATCACATAATTTAGCTTGATTTTTCGGTTTTACCTCAAATTTAATTTGGTGTGATTCGTGCAGAACTGCAACAAACCAAAAATAATAATAACAACAACATATTGTGAAAGACAATAATTGAACCAGCGTAGAAACAAAACATTGAACCAAATCAAATCAAAAATTTTCCATACTAAAAAAAATATTAACCGGATCACACTGAATTGCACGGTTTGGCTCAATTTCACTCTCTTTTACTAGGGAGTTGACTTAGTTGAGTACTGTTGATGTACGAAATTCGTCAACGGTTTAGGGAATTCCCTCAATACTGAAAATAATATTATTCCTGAATGAGGTCGACTAACCGTGTTTTTATATATTAAACAATTCAGGTGTTTTAGAGCATCTCCAATGGAAAATTGTTTATTTTGTGTTGAATGACATGGAAAAAGGAAATAAAATGATTATGTCTCCAATGGTTAGTGTGAATTGTGGTGTTATTTATGATATGTAAAATTTTTATTAGGTGAAGAAGAGAGAAAAAATAATAAACAATACATAATAAATAGTAGAAGTATTCTAGAATGACTTCTACATCTAGAAGGTCTTCTAGACATATTTCATGCCATATAGGATTTTTGTGCCATGTGGCAATAGAACAGAACAATAGAATGACCATTGGAGATGCTCTTAGTATTGTTGAGTATTATTATTCAAAAAAGAATATCGTATTATGTCCTTGTTACAATAAATGCGGCATATTTATAGTGTAAAACACATGGACACGGTTTACGATGTCAGCACTTCGACATTTAATACGAACTGACGGTGAAAAGGAGTGACTTGTAGGGCGGGTCCCACATCTAATGATTACTTTTCCACAGTACGATAAACATGCGTCTTATCTGCATTTAATGCGTTGTCAGAGGTCGGTCTTCGAGGGATCTTGATCTGGTCGAGTGACTGAGCTCCTTAATTACGAAATTGACCTCATTGCCGAGCTGCTTACTTTTTGCTGATTTGTCTTTAAGGTCGGATAATTACGTTATTTACGCCACGTGTCAGTAGATTAGGGGGTCGTTAGTTCGGGTGTCAACAAGTAGTGAAGTACATACACAATTTTTTTCTTATTTAATTTACTCAATACGTGACAATTAATTAACCAATATTAATCTAACACATGAAAAATTTGACTTCTTGTTACATTACATGCACAGAATGATACTCCTTTTTATCTGCAAAAGATGCAGTTTTTACATTGCANAAAAAAAAAAGAATGATAAGAAGAAGGTCAAACATCTGCAGGGATAGCCGAAATATAGGCATAATTATATGGTCTGTTCTGTAGTGTAGTTAATGTTAAAGGATAAAAGGCCTTGTGTAGTTTTTGTTTTTTTCTTTATTGTCTTTGGCTTGTTTTGGCTTGTTTTTTATTGGAGGAGTTAATTAATGTGTGTGTGCGTGTGTGTGTTCATATTGAAATAATTTCTAACATGGATTTGTATTAAGGGTTTTAAGTTTTAACCATGCACGCGAAAGCAACGTGTCCCTGCCCATTTGCGGGCCAAAGGCACGACATAATATCATCTTATTCAACAATTTTATTTGCTTTTATGCATTTTTTGGCAATTTTTTGAAAAAATTGATTTCTATATTGGATATTTT